AAAATATGGTATTAAATAGTCTAGGGAGGTAATAGGTCCTCATGAAAGTTTAGTATCGCAACAGCAAATCCGACCAAAGTTGAGGTATTTTTCAGATCTTTATCCCTATAATATATATACATATACCTTTTTACTACCTTGTTATCTTAATGGGGAAGTTTGATTATTATTTTTTGTATAAAGTAGGAAAGAAGTTTGAAAGCAACTGCACATATATTAAGCAAATTATTAATTAATGGATTGATTTCATAGGCTACCTATATACAGCTTTTTGCATATTAGCTTGGGTAGTTTGGTTTAGAAGTAAACTATCCTGAAATTAGTGATATCCGAATTAGTTGTGCGGTGATTAATAAAGGGAAAATTATGTGGAAACATTGTTATAGTTTAAATTAATTACGATTTGCAGCTTAATTTTAGTTGTAATTATGTGCGTACCTCTCCTCTCTTTTTCTCTCTCTCCTCTCTCCTCACTTATACATATACAAATACAATTATATGATAGATATACAAATGCAATCGTCTCTCTCCACTCTTTGCCCTCTCTCACTCGTCTCTCTCATCCCTCTCCCAATCACGCTCGCCAGATATACAAATACATATGTATACCAGTTACATTTATGCAATTATCTGACAGATATACATATACAACTCGCATCTCTCCACTCTCTGTCCTCTCTCGTTCTCCTCTCTCCTCCCTCTAACATGTAGCTATGAATCGTAATTAACAAACTATAGCTATGAAGCCTAATTAAAATTATTTTAGTGACTATTTGTGAAAGTTCCCCATTAATAATAAATATAAATTACTATGCTATGATTAAATAATATATATAGAGATTATTATGTTGTGATTTATAATTTATTTGGTTGAATTTCTTAAATAATTTTAGTCTGATTTTTTATTTATTTTTATCATAAGTGTTTGTAAAATATATTTTATCAATACTAAAGCATCAATTTTTATGTAATTAGAACTTTTAAAAAATGTTTCTCTAAAGAATGTATTTTTCCAACTTTTGAAAACTATTTCTATTACTACTCAAATATAACTGCCTTTTTCTTTTAAATATTTGGTCAAACAACTCAACTCTTTAAAATAAAATATTTTTGGCTTTTTAAAAAATTGATCAAGTAGGTCGAAATGCGTTTAGACACTATCTTTAGATGCTTTAAGAAAATATCTCTTCTAAAATATTAAGTTTGAGGCCTTAGAAAAGACTATAAAGCTCATTCAATTGGTTAAATTATAGAGAAAATTTTGCGTATAGCAAATAAAAAATTGCTAATTGTATGCTATAGCAAACTTTATAAAATTGCAGTCCGTAGCAAACTAAAAGTTTGCTACGGATGTGTCTTTCTATCAGTCTTTTTTTTATTATATACATTTTAATTGTTTAAAAAAAAAAAAGACGTTAATTTCGATTAGAAAAAAAAGGAAAAAAATCACTGAAGTCACGCACGTTCTGTTTCATTCGAATTCCCTTTCTTCTTCGTCGTCTTCAACAGTAAGAACTCCATTGTAACTCAATTCAGAAAATCGATCAAGCTATTGACGGTACTATACAAACAATCGAGATCATTGGACTGTAGAGATAGCAACATGAGGTAATTTCATGACAAAAACATACTCTGATTTTGCTTTTTTTGGTCGAAAATGGTGTTCAACATGTATTCAAAATCAGATTTC